ACCTTAAAGTTCTGATTAATCTGAGCAGCTGTAGTCTCAGAGACATCCAGCTGCTTGGAGACGTCTGATGACACTCTGTCCTCTGAACCATCTGGTTTGTCCAGACCACTTTTATGAGTTTGTTTCTGTTGAACCAAATATTTTTCATTCATTTAGTTTTTTCCCTCATTTTCAGTTTGAAGTAATTTTAATGAACTTTGAGTTATTTTATCAACAAACAGGGTGAAGCAGAGCAGGATGTGTTGGTTTCTAAATGTCCCACTGTGTCCTGGTGGGGTTGGGGGGGCGGGGGTCCTCCTTGTTCACAGAAAAAAAAACAGATAAAGAAATTTCAGGAAAAAAAAGGAAGCCTTCACATTATACATGGTGATAATCATTACAAATCTAAAATAACAATAAAAACATGTTCTTCTTTTTCGTCGACTTTAGAGAGTCTGAGTGCTTCTTAGAAACGGGCTTTTTTTTAAAAAAGGTTTTAGAAGAAGGCTGTCAGTCCAGCTCACCGTTCAGAGGATTAATACAAAACAGAGGGGAGGAAAAATAAATCAAAGCAAAGCAAGATAAAATAAGTTCAGCTTGAATCTAAATACCTAAGCAGCTAAATAGAATAATGTTTCTGTCATAGTCTCACATAAACCTTAAAGAGGAGAAAAATAAATTATACTGTACATAAGTTACTAAACTGAAGAAACAAACCGTTTTAATTCTTGTTAATAATATTAGACTAGAGGCAGTTTTGAAGAGAAATAATAATAAAATACAGTTTTCAAATACAAACAGAAACACTGACTGGCTGATTTCACTCTGGCTCCGCCCACGTGGTTACAGCAGGACGACGTTTGATTGGAGAGAGAGCAGGAAACACTTTAATAATAATAATAATAATAATATGTGTGTGTGTTTTTAGCTTTGTTTGCTGTTAAGAAGTGCAAACATTCAGGAAATGAGAACACACACACGGGTGGGTGTTTCAGGCGGATGATTTGGGGGGAGGAGAAAACTCGTGGATTGTCTCACAAACACAGTGCTTTCCTTTCTGCTCCACGAGGCCCTGAAAAACCTCAAAGTGGGACGGTCTGCTTTAAAAAAAAGTTTTTACCGTCTGCGCTGCCTGGACCGTCCCGAGGGGAGAAAAAAAGAAAGATTTGTCAAAAATAAATGTCTGTCTTTCTGGTGCTTTACAACAAAATTAGGGCAAAAAAAAAAAAAAGAATAAAGAAAAGTCTCTTTTTTTTCTATTATTATTCAAACTCGTAGCACAAAAACAACAAATCACATTCACAAGCCACTTATTGGCACCGTGTACCTGAGTGAGAATATTATAGAACCAAAGAACAAAACAAATCTGTTTGTTAAAAGTGTCTCTTGATAATAAACAGGTCCTTCCTAAAGTGTCGTCTGTCCTTCAACAGCTCCACTGCTTCAGTTCTGACAGGACAACAAGTTCACGCGTGGCTCTGCACTCGTCTCGCAGTAGTACTTGAATATTCCTCAGTGACTCCAGCTTGTGTAACAGTCAGTGTGAGTGACAGGTCCTGTGCTTTCGTTGATTGGTCAGATGCTGGTATCAGGACTCCAGTGGGGTCAAAAGGGGGCGGGGCTTGGCTCTGCAAAACGAGTCCATGTTAGTCAGGAGTGGTGGGGGATTGGTGGATGGAGACAGATACCAGCAGTGATTGGTTTGGGGGAGGGGGGCGTGGCGCCGTCTTTATTGGGCGATGTGGTTCTCGTTGTCGCTGGCGTAGTCGGCGTCCTCGTCCTCGTAGTCGAAGTCGTCGTACACGTCTCCGTTGCTGTCGTCTAGCCGCAACTCCTCCTCCTTGATCCGCGGCTCGTCCCCCTTCAGGCCCGGCAGGGTGGGGTTCTGGTGGTGGTTGGCGTTGGGCTCGGGGCTGCTGGACATGCTGGAGTGCTCCGAGGGCATCTGGGGGGACGGCAGGCCCGCCATGGACAGGGCGCCGGGGTAGACCATGCCTGCAGAGGACAGGGGCAGCTGGCTCTGCTGCCTGCAGACACAACACATTCAAATKAACASTTCTGTTAGCAAAATATCTCAGCAAACACTCGATTAATGTTTCTACCCTTCTGTTTTTATCAGCTTAAAGTCTCATGAATGGTTACATAATTCAGTTTCTGTCCACCTACATGCAATTTTAGTGTCCAACCAACCAACGTACGTATATATATATA